GTAAGGGTCCGTGAGACACATTTGCTGGAAATGAGTCATCAGTGTGTTGTCATAGCATATGCAGGATTTAGTCTTTTCAACAAACATATTCACCCTTTAGCCATATCTGTGTGCCATGATAAATGAGGAATAAACCATTTACTGAGTCACAACTCCATCTCACGCCATTTTCAGACATGGCTCATAGAAAATCAATCGAGTGCTTGGGTGTACAACCTAACATTTAAATGCTAAGTGTGTCTTGGCCAGATCCATGTGATCACATGACCTACGTTATTTTTCTGTTCCTTTTCTCAAGCGAGAAGCGGTGGATGAGTCAAATGTGAGGCACGTTTTAATCAATTCATCTTTAGGAGTTTGATGACAATTGGACATATACTTTTTTAACAGGATCGGGCCTACACATCATGGTAGTTCACTCGCTCTGAATCTCTGTTCTACTGAAACAAGACTTACAGATTTTAGGGGTGAAGCGTTAAGGAATTTGGTGTGAATGAATAAGAGCGTAATCATATAATGTAACGCTAGTAAAGGATGACAGAAAAATCGGATGCTGCCTTAAATATTTTTAACGCATTAAACTGAAAAATTATTCGCAGAGTGCTCTACTCTTGCATTGTCAATATAAGATCTTGACCAAAAATTGATGCACCTCTTGATGGAAATAAATGTTGTGATTTTATTTCCATTAAGAGGAACATCAATTTTTGGTCAAGATCTTGTATTGAAATGCAAGAGTCGAGCACTCTGTGAAGTCTACTCCAGCACATCCCAAAGACTTTTACTGACTATGTTTACGTGGACAGCAGTAATCTAATTATTGACCTTATTCGGAATAAGACAATATTCTTATGTGATGCTTTTAGAATATTCCTTTCATGTTCCCGTTTTACATGTTATAGAACATAGATCGATTAATGGCACATGTCATTACGTCACCATGCCACGCCTCCAACATTCCCTCCATAGCAACACACAGTTCGTCTCCGCTATGGTACCATATACAGATTTGGGTGTTTCATTTTTAATTTTAAGAAAGCTTCAAGTGTAGTTAATTATTTGTCATGCTATACGTGCAAATAGACGAGGGCGGATACAAATTCTGAAGCCATCTTGTTTGCCATCAAATGGTTGACCACTGGTATGTGTGTGTCCTGTCGCAAAATGCGCCGAAAACTCCCACACGACTTTAATAATGTGATTAAGGTGTGTACATTTCTATAATGGACTTCGATAATGCGACTAAAATTGCTATATTGCAAGTCTTAATTCGATTTGTATTTACTTCGAGTATGACTTTAGCGAGATTAAGGTAATCAGAAATCCCTGTTTACATGGTAGTTTCTTAATCAGAGTATTGTCTTATTCGGCTTAATATCGGAATACTGTTGTCCATGTAAACATACTGATTGTTATCTTGGAATATGGCATGATTCCTACATGGTTGTTTAAGAAATGAAAAGCTATACAATCCATCAAATAGGGTTAGAAGAACTGTTTCCAAACAAATAACATGCTAGAAACATAATAATCACTGCAACAATGATCCAATCATAGACTCCTAATTAAATCCAAACCACAACTTTTTTGGGGGGCCGGGCAGTGTGTATACATTATATACTGTACATACAAGTTAAATTAAAATGTTTTCCACTTATGACTGGTAAATCAGAACAATGCTCTAAATGCCGTCTTTTAAGCATTTGTCTTTGTTTTTATTCTTTGTTCAATCAGTCAAATTAATTTTGGAATAACACAGCCTTGAATTTCAGAATGATAGTTCTGCCCCTTGTTCATTCCTTAAAGCAACTCAAGCTAGTGATTAGTAGAGAGGAATTACAAAAGGAAATCCGTAATTCAATTCACACTCCGACAAAGAATAAGCCCTCTATTCAAGCTGAAATGTGCTTGTGCAGAGCCTCATTCAAGAGAGATCTTTTTTCCCCTTCCTTCATTACAGAAGGATGTCATGCAGTAATCAGTTTGATCCAAATAAAGACATACGGCCAATTATCAAAACCATGAGCAGCTGGGTGTTACCCTCTAAACCCTGCACTCTCATAAAAGACTGACAACCAATTACATTTCCATTTAAACAGTGTCATTTTCACTACATTTGACTTGACTTTCTAATAGCCAGTGTTTAGTATGATATAAATATGACCTATTAAGGGAATTATTAAAATGTTTCCATGGTTAAAATTTGTTTAAATGATTTAATGTTTTAAAGTAATCCTTAAATGAAGTTTAATAGGAGGGGGGCTGTACTGTTTACAATGTACAGCCCATTAGGCTTGTGTGTAAACATTGTTTTAAATAAGTTAATTTTAAATGTAGAGGCAATTAGGCAGAGGCTGTTCTCGTTGTCACACCCATCAGGATTCATGGCCAATTATGTATAATCAATAGCGATTGCTGCTTAGAATGTGAGGAGAGCACCCATTGAGGTAACAGGAACAGACTGATTGGTCTATTTATTCACTATGTATCTGTTAGACTATTGAGATTTGATTATTTTTTTGTTTTGTTTTTTTACATTGCTGCAATAAACATTGTATTTTATGATTAATGTTTACTGCCTGCTAAATCTGATCTTGATTTTATTTGTTTGTGCATTATTCTTTTCACTTTTTCTAAACAAAACAAATAACAAACTATAGCCTTCTTTTAAATAGTTTTTTTTAGCTGCCTGTTTCCAGGCCTGTCTTTCTGTCTATACATCTATTTATTCTCTGCTCATTTTGTATTCCTTTTCATTTTCCTCTTCCTCACTCGCTCCCTTATGACTGGATTTTAAAATTGGGGGGGGGGGGGGGGGGGGGGGGGCAAGAGGCATGTGGTCTTATTGATTGGCCAGTGTCTTGCTCCTCCAAGCCCAGAAGCGCAAGACTTGAGAGATGCAACACCTCTCTTTTTCTTTAGTTGTGTCCCTCAATCTCCTCCACTCATTCGTCAGCGTGAAGCTATATGGCACAAACATAAGTGGGTACATTTTACCTGAAATCATTTTATAAATTGTTAACTTTTTTTTTTAATTTTTTTTTAAACAAAATGTTTCATATTGAAGCTCCGAAGGGCAAAGTGAAAAAACTGCTGTGTGTAAAAATCTTTTTCTTCTGCATATTTTCAGATGTTTCTATGTATTTTTCATATACCTTTTTTTTGCATACAGATGCCCTTTAAAGGGATAGTTCAAGTTCACTCCAAAATTCGGTCAACACTTTCTTTGTTGCAAACCTGTATCTGTATGACTGTTTCTTCAAAAGTTTCATTTTTGAAAGTACAATTTTCTAAATATCTTGATGTTCTACTGAAAAAAAATAGAGCAAGTTTTTATTTAGAGGCGAAATGAATGTGAATAAATTATGACAGAAATGTAATATTTTGGTAAACTACTAAAACAAATATTAGGGAAAAATGTTTATCAGAAGCCATGAAGGGCGAGGTTGAAAAAAAAAAAAACCCCATCAATGACCGACTTGCTAATGCTAACATTTAGCATGAAATGTGAATCACAGTAAGTGCTGTAGATGTGACTATGCAATTTTTAGTCACCTATTCTCATTTTTATGTATGTTAGGTAATAGTTCAAAATGTATCAAACATATCTAATAATAAGCCAATGTCAAGTGTACTGTATTGTTGCAATGTGTAACCAGTAGTCTACAATGTTCCCAGTGTTTGATTTTGACCACTTTTTAGCTCAAATAATGTTAAACAATATCCATATGATTATCTGGACCATTAAAGCATTATCATATGCTTACTTTATGGTTTATTTTCATAGTTGTATTTACAGTGAATAAATGCTATATAGTGTATGCCCATATTCGTTTATGTTCACTACCTTCTAATAAGACAACTTGTGTACAGCATGAGCAGAGTCTCTGTGTCCTTTCTATCTGCAACTTAAAGCTCTGTATGTTGTCAGTTCAGGGAACAACACCTCCCCTTGCTCAGACTGAGCAAATACATCTCAGCACAATATACAGCATGGATCTCTCCATGAGCTTTGGGAGCTTTGTAGAACAGCCTGTTTATTTTCAAAACCACTGTCATCACACATACTGATCTAGAATAAGCCCCTATGTGTCCCCAGCTGTGTTCATCTTTCAGTGTGTTTGTCTCTTTGTTTATATGTTCTTAAATTGTACAGCACAGTTGACAACTTAAAAAAGTGAGGAAACCCATTGATCAGTTAAGCATGGATTATTAATCATTTTAAGTTATGTGAACTTGACAATTCTACATAACTTAATTTGTTCAATTACGCATGAAGTTTATTTACTTAATAATTTTGAGGCACCGGGTTTCCTCACTTTAAGGCAAACGTTACGACACTAGTAAAGCTTATATAATTTTTTTAAAATAAATAGCATACACATTTATAACTCTATATGTTATATTACCTTGTCAGTAAATGACAAAAAAACAAATTAACACTGGTGCGAGGGTGTTTCTAATACATGGCTGAGGGAGTGGCGACAAATTTGATATCTTTCTCTCTTCTGACCAGCGTAATCAGCCTCTCTATTTTTTCTCCCTCTTTTGGAAAGTCGTGGCAACTCTATCACAGATTTTTCTTTTGCTATTGGAGCGAAATACAAAAAGGATATTTACTGTCTGAGATCCCTGGTAAAAGGGTCCATTGCTAGAAAGTTACAGGCAGTTGAGTTTGATCAAGGTTGGGCCAAAGTGAAGAGTGAAAAACATCTGATCTAACTGATAATTAATAAAATGAGTTTCGTGTTGATGAAGGGGTACTTGAGCATTTTTGATGAGGCCAGGGGATATGTAAGACAAAAAGGTGTAGAAACACTGCTCTGACAGATATTTGAACTAAATGTGAATCAATATCTTTTAGTTGGAGCAATACCTGAGAAAAATAAAACAAAAGACTAATGCAAGTGAACAATTACAATTTTGGATTTTTTAAAGGAACCTTGCAAGACACTGTTAAATAACTAACTTAACTTAACCAACTGCCTCTTTTATTTTAGGAGCATTTCCAGCCAGTGCGCTGTACGCCCGGCGTGACCGCCTGCAGCGGCCTTCACACGTTGCCACCAAAACCTTCCAGGCCTTACGGATATTTGTAAACAACGAGCTCAATGAGTTGCATGCTGGCCTGCATGTGGCGCAGACTCTGCTCCGTCCCAAGGGGCGACTCTGTGTTCTCACCTTCCATTCCTTGGAGGACCGGCTGACCAAGCGTTTTCTTCGTGGAGAGGACCTGGCTGCCCCACCACGCCGCAGCATTCGCCAGCGAGCCAAAGCCCAGCATGGATTGGAGAGAGAGGAGCAGGAGGAAGAGAATGAAGAAGGGGAGAGGGGGCGAGAGAGCACACATTGGGTCAGTCTGAAGAAAGTGATAAAGCCATGTGAGGAAGAGGTGCAGGAGAACCCAAGAGCTCGATCAGCTAAACTCAGAACAGCAGTAAGACGATAGACAGTGGTGAAAATTCAACCAGAGTAACTGAAACTGACAATTTTTACTAGATTGCTATTTTAACTTTTTTCATGTGTAGTTTCAGTAATAAATATTAGATCTCCAGAAATTGTTTTTGTGACTTGTTGTTAAAAATGTTGGTGGCGTGGCCATGAATTCTGGACAGCATATCTGGCTGAGGTGCCAAAGTGTACCTATACCAAAGTGTATTTACAATACATTTATTTTTATACTAAGTATACTACAAACCATTAACATATTTACTGACATATCGCTTGAGGCTTACTGATGTAAATATTATAATTGGAATACTTCTTTATTGCACAATGCACATTTCTTAATAGTAAGCCTGAATAGTCACTGAAGAAGGCATGCGCCGAAACGCGTCTGTGCAAATAAAATCAAATAAAAGAACTATGCATAGTGCGGCCTCTCTCCTATTTTTCGTTTTTTAATATTAAGCCTAAAATGTGTTTTAATATCACTTTTAGTAAGGATAGTATGATCTGTCTAATATCATTCTTTAAATGCAAGATATTTAAAGTGTACCTGCAATAGTTCCACTTTAGCACAATCAAATATACTTGAATGTATCTGTTACGGTGTTATTCATTTTGTCATGTTTCTGGTTTGTGGTTTCTCTGTCTTTGGTCTTTTATTCAGTTTGTGCCTTGTTAATTGTAGTCTGTTATCCTAGTCATGTCATTATTAGGTCCCTTGTTTCAGGTGTGTTGTCTTGTTAGGTTGTATGGTCCCGCTCGTTGTTCTGATTTGCCCCAGCTGTGTCTTGTTCCCTGATCCCCTCTGTGTATTTATATCCTGTCTTCTCTTTTGTTCATGGTCAGTTATTGAATGTATGTTTGAATGTATGTGATTGCCTGTATGTGTACGTTCCTCGAGTTTCTCTGAGATCTAAGTTACCCTAGTCTGTGATAATTAAAGTCTACTGCTGCATCTAGATCCGACTTCCGCCTTTGCTTCCACGCAAATCGTAACAGAATAACTGACCCACTAGGATCTAGCAGCCATGCCTACCTGGAGTCCTGATGTCCAGATCCTCCGTCTTCGCCAGGAGAATCGCGCCATCGAGGATTATGTCGCAGAATTCCTCGAGCTGGCATATCTCGCGCAAATGAACACCCACGGCTTGAAGATCTTCTTCCGCGGAGGATTATCGGAACCACTCCGGTCTCTGATGCCCGAACCTGGTCCTCACGGATCTTTAGAATGGTACGTTGACCTGGCCCTGTTGTGGAGCGGTTCCCCGTTTACTGTGGGCGTGGAGGAGAAGCTGCGAGAGCCTGCGCTTAACGTCAGCCCGGTCGCGCCCGCGCTTCACTTCAGCTGCTCAGCCGAGACCACGCTCCACAAGCCTGCGCTTCACGTGAACCGAGTCGAGCCCGCTTTCCACGACATGCCTGAGCTTCTTCCTGCCGAGATCGACATGCCTGAGGCTGAGCTTCTGTCTTCCGAACCCGCACGTCGCTTCAGCCTCGACGAACCCGAGTCAAGTGAGTCAAGTCCCGAGTCAAGTGAGTCAAGTCCCGAGTCAAGTGAATCTAGCCCCGAATCAAGTTCCGAGTCATGTGAATCAAGTTCCGAGTCAAGTGAATCAAGTTCCGAGTCAAGTGAATCAAGTTCCGAGTCAAGTGAATCAAGTTCCGAGTCAAGTGAATCAAGTTCCGAGTCAAGTGAGTCAAGTGAGTTTACCGAGTCTACTGAGTCAAGTGAGTTTACCGAGTCTACTGAGTCAAGTGAGTTTACCGAGTCTACTGAGTCAAGGGAGTCAAGTGAGTCTACCGAGTCAAGTGAGTCTACCGAGTCTACCGAGTCAAGTGAGTCTACCGAGTCAACCGAGTCAAGTGAGTCTACCGAGTCTACCGAGTCAAGTACGTCCAGTAGTGAATCAAGCCCAGTGAAGCGTCGTCGCAGGAGGAGGAGGACTCGTTTGCTTCGCCAGGCCACGGAGGGCGTTCCCAGACTCCTCGCCCTGCCGGCCCCGCCTCTGCGCCTCTGCGCCTCGCCCTGCCGGCCCCGCCTCTGCGCCTCGCCCTGCCGGTCCCGCCTCTGCGCCTCGCCCTGCCGGCCCCGCCTCTGCGCCTCGCCCTGCCGGCCCCGCCTCTGCGCCTCGCCCTGCCGGTCCCGCCTCTGCGCCTCGCCCTGCCGGTCCCGCCTCTGCGCCTCGCCCTGCCGGCCCCGCCTCTGCGCCTCGCCCTGCCGGCCCCGCCTCTGCGCCTCGTCCTGCCTGCGCCCTTCAAGCTCCGGGAGGCCTGCCCGGAACCCATTTACCACCTGGAGGTTCCTCCCGAGGATTTCCCCAAGTATTTTTTGGGGGGGGGCAGAAGGTACTCCGTGAGGGCCATGGAGACGACGTCGACATGGTCCTCACCCTCGTCTGAGTCTGCTCCGACCTGGCCACCATCTCATCGTGCTCCGCCCTGGCCTTTGCCACGCCATGCTCCACCTTGGCCTTTGCCACGCCATGCTCCACCCTGGCCTTCGCCACGTCATGCTCCACCCTGGCCTTCGCCTCGTCCTGCTCCGCCCTGGCCTTCACCACGCCATGCTCCACCCTGGCCTTCGCCTCGTCCTGCTCCGCCCTGGCCTTCGCCTCGTCCTGCTCCGCCCTGGCCTTCGCCTCGTCCTGCTCCGCCCTGGCCTTCGCCTCGTCCTGCTCCGCCCTGGCCTTCACCACGCCATGCTCCACCCTGGCCTTCGCCTCGTCCTGCTCCGCCCTGGCCTTCGCCTCGTCCTGCTCCGCCCTGGCCTTCGCCCTGGAGGCTTCCTGTTCCGGGTAAGCCACGCCCTCGTCAGCCTCCAGGGCGCCCACCCTCCCGCCCCTATTTGATGTTCATTCGGCGCGGGGTCGCGCCTTATGGTAGGGGGGGATAATGTTACGGTGTTATTCATTTTGTCATGTTTCTGGTTTGTGGTTTCTCTGTCTTTGGTCTTTTATTCAGTTTGTGCCTTGTTAATTGTAGTCTGTTATCCTAGTCATGTCATTATTAGGTCCCTTGTTTCAGGTGTGTTGTCTTGTTAGGTTGTATGGTCCCGCTCGTTGTTCTGATTTGCCCCAGCTGTGTCTTGTTCCCTGATCCCCTCTGTGTATTTATATCCTGTCTTCTCTTTTGTTCATGGTCAGTTATTGAATGTATGTTTGAATGTATGTGATTGCCTGTATGTGTACGTTCCTCGAGTTTCTCTGAGATCTAAGTTACCCTAGTCTGTGATAATTAAAGTCTACTGCTGCATCTAGATCCGACTTCCGCCTTTGCTTCCACGCAAATCGTAACAGTATCTTTAGTTGGACCTCAGCACTATTTCCAGATTTGTAGTATACTTAGTATAAAATAAATGTATTTCAAATACATTTTGGTACATTCATTTTTCACTTAGGTGGGTAATGTTATATTTTGTAATTTGATTTTGAATGTTTTGTTTTCAGTTTAGTTTTTATTTCTAGTTTATTTTCAGTTTGTGTTTACAGTTTAGTTTTCATTTTCACTCTATCATTGTTAGTTGTTGTTTAGATGTATTAAGTTATTTAGTTTTACTGGTTTAGGGCTGCCAAAGCTAATGTGCTAACTTGCATCTTTTAAAATTATTTAAAGGGATATTTCACCCCAAAATGAAAATTGTGGCATCATTTTCTCACACTCAAGTTGTTCCAAACCTGTATGAGTTTCTATCTTCTGTTGAACACAAAAGAAGATATTTTGAAGAATGTTGGTAACAAGACAGTTGATGGTAGCCATTTACTTCCAGTAGGGGGGAAAAAACTATGGAAGTCAATGGCTACTGTCATTATCATAACTGTCTGGTTACCAACATTCTTTAAAATATCTTCTTTTGTGTTTAACAGAAGAAACAAACGCATACAGGTTTGGAACAACTTGAAGGTGAGTAAATGATGACAAAATTGAAATTTTTGGGTGAACTGTCTAGTGTTATTGCTGTCTAACGATATGCAGATGGGTTGTAAAGTTTCAAGTTTTACAACAGACCATGTACCAAACACTAAAACAAAAATTAATGTCAGCACTAAATATAAATTCACATCAATCTTCTAAATGCATGTTGTTCATTGTGCACAATTTATTCATGCACATTTAATTTTTTCTTCTTTTTTTGGACCCTGTAAAACTGTTGTAACTCAAACTTCCGGTGATATGTCAGTCAGACTTCTCTCTGGTGACATATGCTGGACTTCTACAATCATTTAGTCTGCTTAAATCAAACCCCTTTCTTACAATTTTAACTTTATTTCTAACAACAACAAAACAATTCATGTATAGTTTTCGTTAAAGCTAACTGCACTCAAGGTTGAATCCATCTTATACCTGCTGAGCCGCCGCTTCCCATTGCACCAATAAATAATAGACCTTACAACATAACTGGCTCTGTTCAGCTCATAGACAGATTCAGGATCACTTCACACATGGATTCAACCCAGCTCTCACTTTTTCCTGACTCATTTCTTCTGCATTCATGACTATAGTGCTGAAGTCCGGCAGCCCATTAACAGCTAGAATAAGAAAATTATCAGCCACATAACACACTCTTCCTCCAGAACAAACTCCACCATGAAAGGAGAATTTTAATGTGTAAAACAGAGAAACATTTAATGTTTCACATTGCATCGTTACGGTATGTGAAAGTGTTGGGTTGCGATCATGGGCATGCGTACAGCCCACATGCAAGTTGGCAATGCAGCATGTGACATAGCGAGAGAGAGAGATACACTAAGAGATTGCGTCTCTATGCGGCGGCCTCTCTCCCTTTGTTGAGCTAGTGGGGGTGAGTCACACACCTGCAGGACTCGGGTGGGATTCAGCTGCCATGGTAATACTCAGCGACTTGTGTACTGTACTCCAGTCCAGCCGCTGAGTCGCTTCACATCTAATTCACATGCATCTACCCCAACACCTCACCAGCAGTGTGATACAGGGTCAAAATATTTCCTCTGAGCTCACAGCCTCTGATTTTAACACATCATTATATCCTTTCACTCTGAATGAGAATGTATGAACCTCTTAGGTCCTAAATAAGAATGTACTTTTCAATCAACTATTACATTTCAATGAATAAGAAAATGTTTATGGTATAAAT